CCCCGGCCCCGGCCCCGGCCCCGGCCCCGGCCCCGGCCCCATCGCGGGCGCCCGGAGATGCTCGGCGGTGCCCGCATCCCGCCGCGGCCGTGGGCGGCTGCCGGCCCCGGTACCCGGGGGATGTTCACCGGCTCCGGCAGCGCCGCCGCCTCCCTGCCCGTCGCCAAAGCTGCGTGGCTTATGCCAGTGCCTCCGTGGCCAGGGCTTGATGCCAAAGCGACCCTCTCCGGTGACCGGGGGTGCTGTCCCCTGCACCCTCTCTCCGTGTCCCACACGGGGGTGCAGGCAGGGCCCGCCCGCCCGTTGCGGGGGCTGCGCCGTGGCCTGAAAGCCTCGGTGCCAGCCCAGCCCATGTCAGGGTACGAGCATCCCCCCGGGCTCCCGCTCCCCCGAGCCCCGCGGGGTGTCCCCGGAGCCCCGCGCGGTGCCGCAGCCGCGGCCGGAGCTGCCTCCGCGGGCTGATGACCCCTGGGGATGTGGGGGACGCGAGGCAGGGAGGATGAGGATGCAGGCACTGCTGGAGGAGCGCCGGCACACCTGGCACACCGGGCTGAAGATGCTGTCACCCCTTGCGAACAGCCTCGATGGCATTTAGCTCCAGCCTTTAATTTTATGGGGCAGTCGGGGTTTTTCCTGGGCTCGTTTTACACCTTCAGCTCGTGTCCTCCGGGGTGGGGGACATGGTGCTGCAGCCTCATCCCACCTGCGGCAGCCGGGAGGGGAGGGGGCACACCCCGAGCCTCCCCCCCCCACCCCGAGCCAGCCCCTCTGGTCTTTGTTCAGATGCACACTCGGGTTCACCTTGGCAGCGAGGATGGGATGGATGGATTGGATTGATGGATGGACGGACGGACAGATGGCAGCAAGGGAGATATACTCAGCGCAGGGCAGGGCGGGGGGGCACCATCCCCGAAATAAACCAGTTAGGGTGGCAGAGCACGGGTGAGGGTGCAAAGGTGTAAATTCCTCCCCCTGGAGACCCCTGCCCGCAACACCCCCGCTGGCCAACGCCAGCACTGGGCACCTGGGACCTGGGATGGCTGCGGGTGCTCGAGGGGAGCACTTGTGGACGTGCACTGAGCATCCCCAGGGGGTTCAGGGCCGAGGGATCCCCATCCCCGGGCGCTGGCAGCACACGTGGGGCCCACCCTGCCGTGGCACGGCTGCCGAGCTGGGGGGGCTGCAGCCCTGCTGGCGGTTAGCTTGGATTAATAAGCAAATCCATGGATTTGTGGGGTTTTCGACTGAGCAGCACCGCTGGGGGGATGCACGGGGAGGAGGCCGGCGGCCGCAGGGAGCTGTCGAGCGCCGCAGTGTTACCAATCACGGCACGGGAACGCGGCTATCGATTGCGGTGCAAACACGGCCGTGCTGGAGCGAGACATCCCCTCCAGAGCTGCCTCCCGTGCCGCTGCTTCCAGCTGCCATCCCAAACCCTGCCCACCTTCCCCGGGGCGGCAGGGATGCTCCTGCTTTATCGCAAAGCCCACCCCGGAGCATCCCGTGGGGAGGGCGATGCTGCCTGCCGGGAGGGTTTGAGTCCCTGCTACTCCCCCACACCCCCGGGATGCTTTCGGGGTCCTGTGGGAGCAGTTCTGCCTCCCCAGACAGCGACATCCATCTTGGCCCACTCCTTCTGGGCTCACGGTTGAAGAATCAGGGTGGCAGCACCACGGGGATCCCCTGAGGTCCTCACTGGGCTCCCAAGTGAGGCATGGGATCATCCTCCACCCGATGCCATTTCGGCTTTCCCAGCTGGCTGATGGGGGAAGGCTTTATCCTGTGAAAAGGCTCTCCAGGATTACAGGTCTAGAGCCAGAGAAGGGTGAGCACGTTGGTGGTCGGTGCCAGTGACATCCAGGGCTGGTGGCGAGAGCTTTGGGCACCGGCAGGTCGGGGTGCCCTGTCGCTGTGGCTTGGGGCAGGGAGCAGCGCTTTGGGCTGTCCCAGAGCTCACGGTGGACACACTCTCTCTCTTTTTTTCTCGGTGCCGGCTGGGCCATCTCGCTGCCGTGCTGCCAGGAGGTGGAGGTGAGCCTCGAGGGGCTACCGAGGGGGTGACACCCTGCTTGTGGGGGGGAGGCTGCCCCCCGTCCCTGCCTCCCGCTGTGGGGGTGCCCAGGGGGTGTGAGCAGCGGGAGCCTCTCCGGGCCGGTGGCTCCGAGCCGGGTGATGGCACGCCTGGCCCGGTGTCGCCTCCCCCGCCACCTGCGCTCACGCGGGCTCTCCCCAATTCGCAGGATGACTACATCAAGAGCTGGGAGGACAACCAGCCCGGGGATGAAGGTACCGCTGAGATGGGTTCGGGATGAGGCACAGTGGGCTCGGTGCCAGCCAGTATGACGGGGGTGGGGGGTCGCGCTCTCTGCTTGCACCCCCCGGGCTTTTCCCTTCCGGCTGGGAGCGCTGGTGGGGTCGGAGCGAGCCGGGAAGCAGCAGCTGGTGCCGAGGCGGCTGCCCAGCTGCGGCCTGAATGGCGCTTTGTGCCGGGCCGGCTGCTGGCCAGCGCTGCCGGGGCTCCCCTGGGGCGTCCCCGCCTTCCCCAGTCCCCCCCTCTGTCCCCCCAGCCCTGGACACCACCAAGGACCCCTGCCAGAAGGTGAAGTGCAGCCGGCACAAGGTGTGCGTGGCGCAGGGCTACCAGCGCGCCATGTGCATCAGCCGCAAGAAGCTGGAGCACAGGTAGGAGCTCGGCGGCTCCGGGGCCGGCAGGAGGAAGGGGGGAGCCGGGGCGGGGGGGGCTCAGCATCCTCTCGCCCCGTGCAGGATCAAGCCGCTGGGCCCCAAGGCGCACGGGGGCTGCAAGCCCTGCCACGCCGCCCCGGTGGCTGCCGTCTGCGGCTCCGACGGCCACACCTACAGCTCGGCGGTAAGGACAGCGGCGGCAGCCGCGGGGACGGGGCCCCGTGGCCCGTGTCCCCCCGCCGACGTCCCGCTGTCGCCCCGCAGTGCAAGCTGGAGCAGCAGGCGTGCCTGGCCAGCAAGCAGCTGACGGTGCGCTGCGAGGGGCAGTGCCCCTGCCCGACCCCGCATAGCCCCGCCGGCGACACCAAACAAGGTGAGTGGGGTGCGGGGCACCGGGGGACTGTCCCCGAGCTCTGCCCGGCCTGACGCTGCCCCGCTGGACCCCTCCAGAGCTGTGCACCGGGCAGGATCTGGCCGACCTGGGTGACCGCCTGCGCGACTGGTTCCAGCTCCTGCGTGAGAACGCCAAGCAGAACGGCTCCGGAGGGCTCCCCGCCAGCCCCACCACCGGTACGTGTGTCCCCAGCGCAGGGAGGGGACGTGGGGTGCTGTCCCTGCGGGGGCCCCACGGGCTTCATCCTGCCCTGCAGCGCTGGAGAGGAGCGTGGCAGCCACCTGCAAGGAGGCGGTGGGGTGGATGTTTGCCCGGCTGGACACCAGCGGGGATCTCTTCCTGGAGGCGGCCGAGCTGGCCGCCATCAACCTGGACAAGTACGAGGTGTGCATCCGCGCCTTCTTCAACTCCTGCGACACCTCCAAGGACGGCCGAGTCTCCGCTCCCGAGTGGTGCTTCTGCTTCTGGAGGGAAAGTGCGTCGGGGCAGGGGGGAGACGGTGCTGTGGGGCCGGGGGCTGGACACCACGGGGTCAGGAGGATGCATGCCATGGACTGGGGAATGCACGCTGTGGGATTGGGATTGTACATCATGGGGGATCCGTGCTGTGGGACTGGGGGGTGGGGGATGTTCATCCTGGGACTGGAGTGAGTGGGGGATGTACATTTTGGGATTGGAGCGGGGATGTACATCACGGGGTCATAAGGAACCCACACTGTGGGTTAGCGTGTGTGGGGGAGGGATGTACATCACGGGGGGGATTATGTCATGGGGATTATGTCGTGTGGGTTTGGGGTGTCGGTGGGATGTTTGCCTTAAGGAGAGAGGTGCACCAGGGGGTTCGGGGGTGCGGGGAGGAGTGTTGTGGGTCACGGGGAAGCACATCTTGGGTCAAGGGGGACACACAGCATGGGGCCAGGGGGATACACATGATGGAGCTGGGGGGATGTACTCCCTGGGCAGGGGTGGGGACACACCGTGGGGAATGCAGGCTGTGGGGTCTGGGGGGGATGTACTCCATGGTGCTGTGGAGTTCTGGGGGGATGCACACCACCACAGGGAT